TCATTCTGGAGATCTCAGCGTTAGTGCACATGTAAATGTGAACGAGAAGCTGCCAGACGAGGACACACTTAAATGTGAATGAGAAGCTGCCAGACGAGGAAAAACTGTTGTCAGAATTTATGACGGCCATGCTCTGGAAAGAATGGAGATGGAGATCCTCATCACGAGTGAACTTATCGAGAGGGAGCTGGAAAGATGTGCAGAAGCAGCATTTACATGGAGGCTGCATTTGGTGACCGCACAGGCATGTGTAGCCCGCCGCACAGGCATGTGTAGCCCAGCCCAGAACGGCCATGCGGACTTGACGTCATCCCCACCTTCCTCCAGTATGTATCACTGGCAGTGTTTTTTTGTGAGTGCAGCACATCGTTGCGATGTCTTGGCAACAGAAAACGAGGGATGCACTCGTTATAGGACTTAACCCAACATCTTCTCACGACACAAGCTGACGATAGCCATGCAGCACACCTGTATGAAGTCAAAGTACATCACACTCTTACGAGGAGTTTCTTTCATGTGTCAAGGGCTGGTAAGGTCACAGCAAGAACAGCCACGCATCCAAGCTCTCAAGCAGTTGAAAGGATCCTCTAGATGGATAAGCTGAAGGCGGCATCATGGGACATGAGAGGTTCAGGAGATGCGAATGGAAGGGGTATGTGTTTATTTTATGAATTTGCGGCCCCTGTACAAAAGCTCCTGGTCGTGTTATTTTATGATTTTTCTGGGGGCGGAGCACGTCCTGACGAAGGAGTGGGGCCTGTTCAGACCAATGGGTGTGTGGGTCTGCTTCTTCATGAAACCATTTTCATGAGGAAGAAGTTGACGTCTGTTTTTTGGGAAGCAGTGACGGAAGACTGATGCAGGCTGCCTCCGGAGTGGAGTCGTGGAGAAGAGGACGTGTGTTGGCTCAACAGTTGTTCATAACTCCCCCCAGGTCCTGGATCGTGATGGTAATTGTGTTGGGGTAGCGGTAGACGGCTCAACCGCTACCTTTGGATTATATGTGCAAGGGGATCGTTCAAATCAGAGATCTGTGGTCCACTCTGCTGGGAGGCTGGACGTGAAGGAGCTCCTGTTCGGCTTACACCATGTGGCAGAGAACTGGCAGCGCATCATTAATGCAATACCTCAGGGCTGGCAGACAATTCTGGCGCCAGAGGGGGTAGACCCGCTGCGCACATGGTACCTCGCAGGGGTAGAACAGGAATCCGACGCGATATGGAAGGTCACAGACATCCTCCCCAGTGGTTTTTGCAGAATAGAGAGATGGAAATGCTCGTGGCATTCAGATGAACTGGGTGGGTCTGCTGAATGAGGAAACATTACTAATCTGGAGCAACCCATCTCAGGCACGGGTAGTGGAGCTGAAAGACAAGACGAAAGCTGTGAGAACACTGACCTGGGTGGGAAGAGTTTCATTGATACGGCTCACTATCGATCCGCAACTTGGAGTTGGAATGCACAAGTACTCGGCCATGCCGAAATTTCTCGTGTGTGAATACACGATCAAATAGGGTGATCTGCTACCCGGAAAGAACAGGAAAACTGCAGCAGAAATCACGGTGGCCAGGTGCCAAACGGTCCTCTTGGAGGACCTATCGACGTCAGGGGAACAGTTTGAGAATGTGTGGAAGATGCTGACTTATCCCCCAAACGGAGAACAAGTCAGCGTCCTCTGGCTTCTATCACTGATGGCCTCCGAGAGGACCTATCGGTGCCAGGGGAACAGTTTGAGAATGCGTGGAAGATGCCGACTTATCCCCCGAACGGAAAACAAGTCAGCGTCCTCTGGCTTTTATCACTGATGGCCTCCGGACTGTGCCTCTCGAAGCAATGCACCGCACTGAGCAGCCATCAAGCTGCGTTGCCCATGTTGTGACTGGCCGTTTGAATCAACACACACCACCTCTGGTGGGAATGCCCTGCCTTCAATCGAGTTTGGGAATGGTGGGAATACCATTGGGAACAGATAGGTGGAGAAGGGGTAAAATGGGATGAGCGGTGGGAACAGCACTGTTGGGGTTCCTGTGAGGACCAGGAGAAAAAGGCCTGGGGCTACATTGCTCATGCGGTAAGAGGCCTGATCTGCGAAGTGATTTGGACAGACCGGAACAGAGCCAGGTTCCAGAACGGCCCCCTTTCAGACAAAGAAATCAACTGCCTGATAAAGAAGGGGCTGAAGCAGGCTATTCGGGTTGACTGGCGGCGAAGAGCAAAATCAGGTAGAGGCCCAAGAAGACAGCTGTGCTGGTTTTTAGAGACAAAGTAGCAGGTGGACATGGACCAGGGCACTCGGTCAAGTGTTGTTATAGTCCTCAAAGAGAGTGCCTTAGGATAGACCAGTGCACTCGGTCTGTAGGGAGGAGGCTAGAGAGTGCAGAGCATCTACCAGGACACTCGGTTCAATAGGGACGCAGTGATCCATTAGAAGCGTGTCAGCCAATAAGCAGCCAATAAACAGCCCCCTTTCAGACAAAGAAATCAACTGCCTGATAAAGAAGGGGCTGAAGCAGGCTATTCGGGTTGACTGGCGACGAAGAGCAAAATCAGGTAGAGGCCCAAGAAGACAGCTGTGCTGTTTTTTGCGAACATGGGCAAAAAAACACCTCTGGACGCAGTGCGCTCCTCAAGGGGCTTGATTATTGCGTGCTGGATCAGGGATTTCGAGAACAAGGAGGGAGGGACAGTAGAGACTAAGTAGCAGGTGGACATGGACCAGGACACTCGGTCAAGTGATGTCATAGTCCTCAAAGAGAGTGCCTTAGGATAGACCAGGGCACTCGGTCTGTAGGGAGGAGGCTAGCGAGTGCACAGCATCTACCAGGACACTCGGTTCAATAGGGATGCAGTGATTCAATTGTGACGGGCTCTTTTCTCTTTTTGAGCCTTGGCTGTCAAGGGGGCAAAAGGGGGGTGAAAATTGGTTTCAGAGGGGCTAAAGTGGTTTAAACTTTAAAGGGGGGTGCCTTAGTCTGATTCTGTAATGAACCCAGTCTGGAGGAACACTCGTCAAATGTCGAAGTACAAGATAACTCAGCACTGAATAATGTCTCCAATAATCATGAAATGTGATATGTGATACAATGTCTCGTAACCAGTAGACGAAGGAGAGGAGGGGGGTGAATCGACTTTAGAGGGTGGAAGAGTAAGTATCCATCAATGACCACAAAGGTAGAGACCCCTCGTTCCGCTCTTCTCCTTCGGGCCTCCCCTCGCCTCCATGTCAGCAAACAGTGGCCAAGAAATGAGCCTGACAAGGTCTGATTGCATCAGAGTGCCGCGTGGCACAGTTGTCCCATGAAGACGTCACAACAGCGCACAATGTCGACATCACCAACAGGTAAGTCTCCTCTCTCTCTCTCTCAATCAATCCACAGATTCCGATCTCCCTCCTTGTTGCATCCAACTCAGCAATGAAGATAGTGTGGCAAATGCCTCGTCAGCAATGTAGACAGGGTGGCATGCGCCACATCAGCAATGTGGAAGACAGCGTGGCATATGCCACATCAGCAAGCAAGAAGACAGCTGGTGCCAGAGCAGGAAGGCGCCAGGCGCCAGCAGGCGGTGCAGCAGTCTTGCGTCGTCGTTGCACAGTGCCAGCGTACAGCCAGCGTTGCAGCAGCGTCGCAGCAGCGTTGCACCGGCGTCAAGTCAGCACGGCAAGACTGAATGTTGACTCCCGGAGGCAGAGTCAATAAGTAGTGTTTGACGAGATTGACCCGCCTCTGGTCCCTCACCCACGGAGGCTCAGATTGACTCACAGCCGACGGCCTGGAACTCGTACAGGTACAGACTTCCACTTGGACCAAATGCTGTCTGGATACCTGCATACCAACAAGTGTGTGTCTGACTGCGCCTAGGCTGGGTCCATGCAGACTTTGACTGGTGGTCGTCCTACTGTTGACTTTCGGTCAACTGTCAGGCGCAGGGCCGCTGAGCCACGTCTCAGGGCTCTGTTTTCTTACCCCATTCGGGCACAGGGCCGAAAGGCCTTATTCTTTGGCCTGCGGGGGTGGCCCTTAGACAACAAAGAGGCATATTGGAGCGGGTTATTGCAGATTCCATCACTTTCTTTTTCGTCTCCAATTTCAGTGAGGAATTATGATGTGACCCTCAGCCAAAAATCGTTTGCATTGCAATTCTCAGCAATATTTTTTCTTTCCAGATTTTTTTTTTTTTTGGTTCTCTTTTTTTCTTCTTTTTTGTTGTTGCGCTGGGGCTGCCTGGAACCCACCCTGCACGGGGGTCATGCCCGGCTGGGCACCCGGGCTTTTATCCGGGCGCTTGGGGCACAAGTTGGGCGCCTGCCTGGGCACCCAGAAAAACTCCCTAGCCTACTACTATCTAGGCAACCAGAGACTGTACACGCTCCCGCGTTCGGAACTTGCCAGCTTCAAAACAGTAAAGGAAAAGAAAACAACTGTACTTACAAGAACAAAAAAAACAAACACTTAAAGATTCAAATACAGCAGATGCTTGCCCAACTTTGTGGGTTCCAATTCCGCCATCCCAATAAACAGCGGAAGTGGAGGGAGAGAGAACTGGAGGAATGGCCAGAGGAGAAAAGGACTTGGAAGTGGATCATCACACAGATGATAGCCCTCTGCAAAGGAGTGGCATGGACCTTTGTGCGACCAGGTGTGTTCCCACACACACCATCCTCCTGGCTGCTGAAAAACTCCACAGCTGAGCCTTGAGCGACATGACCCTGCTGTCTGTGCCTGCCTGTTGGGTGTTTGTGATTTCTCAGGCCACCAATTGGCTGAGTGAGTAAAGTTCCAAGCGGTCGTGAAGATGCGTATACAGAGATTTTCTGAAGATGCGGATCTGTTTCTGGTTGTCAAGATGCATATACAGAGATTTTCTGAAGAAAGAATGTGCATAAGCGGTATGAAGTAGATGGGGAAGGCAGGTAGATGATGGGTATGTATGGTGACATGTGCTGATGATGAGACACATCACCCTGCTTTTTTTTTAATGTCTGCGTGATCTTGTAACAGAGAAGGGGGAGTAACGCTGTCAAAGGGGCAACAAGCAGGGACACTGCCACCTGCAGACTGTGCGAAGTCGGTATTTTCAAGGTTTTTCCCGTCATCGTTCTCCTTTGGAACGATCATATTCCCGCCGAAATGGCGATGATTCCTTCCAAACAGTGGGTCCCGGCACTTCTGGGCTCCTGCGTCATCTCAGGAGTCTTCTGGCATCTAACGAGGAACTCGAAAGTCTTTGGAGGTGAGTCAAGTCTACACAAAGTTTGAATCACGAGCGATTGTCCTTGTAATGGTATTTCTTTTGTCGTTTCGCTCTTGCAGCACCCTCCCCGGCCCTCCCTCGCTCATATCTTCTCTTCTGCTCTCACTTTCCGCAGCGAGGGCCATGCAGAGGGCTCCTCTTCTCTCTCCACTCTTCTAACTTGTCTCTTCCCCACTCTTCTCATCTTCTTCTTCCCTGTTGTTTCGTCCTTCCTTGCTTGCTCTAGGGACATCTCACTTCCGTCCTCTCCGTGCTCGGATTGTTTCTTCCCACCCTTACATCTGGCAGGTGTACTTAGTGAAGTGCTCTCATGCAGAGGGTCGTGCCTACGTGTGCGGTTTTCTTCTCTTTTTCGCACTCTGTGACTCCCGTGTGCGGATCGTCTTGTCCTTGTCTTGTTTCCCTCGTGCTTCTGTTGGCCAAAGCCTCCAGCTGGCCTGCAATGTCCGTTTCATGGACACTGCACTAAAACGCTGGTTCCTATGCACTCGCGACTTCTCTTTTTTTTCCCCATTCTGTTCCATAATTCTCTTTGCAGGCGTGTTGTACATGGGTTGCTCTGATCAGACACAAATTCGCGGACTGCTACTTTCTGTGCCGTCAATTCCATGGCTGCCAGTGATGGAATGTATGCTGATGTGCAGTTGGTTCCTCACTGTGATCCAAACTGAGACATACGGAGGAGGTCGATCAGAAGCAGAGATCCACAGAAAGAAGCAGAAGTGGGACATCATGTTAGCTGTTGTGAGGTGATACATTGAGTGAGGGAAGTCTCCTGAAATTTCCTGAAAAAAACTTTTCAACAAACGTTGAGCATGCATCGGCTACAATGGGTTTTGCTTGCTCGATAGCAAAAGAAAGAAAAAGAAGCCGGCGGCATAGCTCAGTTGGTAGAGCACGGAAGCTGCATTCAGGAGGTCGTGGGTTCGATAGCAAAAGACAGAACAGAAGAGTGGAGAGAACATGGAAGAGAGAGAAAATGAGAAGGTGCCACTCAAAGCTTAATACTGCTTGCTCAATGTCTTGCCTCTCGTTGAGCAGCTGGAGATGGACTGGTATATCCATACCTTCACTGCTGCTTCGTCCAAGGAGCTTGGAGCGAATCACGAAGGCATGCTGCGTGCAGAAGCTTTGCCCCCAAGTATGCTTCTGGCAATCATACCGCTTGCGGCTTCCCCCATGATCAAGATGGAAACTCCACAGATTAGGCAGCGAAAGATGATTAGGTGCCCCCTCTGTCCCAGGCCTAATACCTGGGTCAAATCATCCATTTGTCCGTTTCCCAGGTGTGCTGCTTGCGGTATTATTTCGGGAAGGCGGAGAGTCCCGAAAAGTCCCTCAGGCAGACTACTTAGCTGCCTTGGGAAGGAGAGCGAGGTGCCAATCATAAGCGAACTGAGATCAGCAGAACGCGAACACAAGCACATTGAGAGAAACAATATCCCGACATGTGAAAACTCGGAAAAACTGGGAAGAGATACTAAAAAAAACAGAGTGACGTACAGGAGTACCACCATAGCCTTGGCTATGATATCCTACCGCCCGCTACAGACGGTAGTCTGGCTGCCCTCGACCGGTTTCGGCTGGAGCCAGGGCCAGCCTCATCAGGAGGGAGAGTAACTCCGAGGTGAAAGGTTAAACCTACATAGTGGCTAAATACTAACATGGAACTACCTTTGCCCTTGCAGGATCAGCACGGCAGATAGCAGGTACGCACAGGTACGTGAGTTTCCTTCCTAAGTCTTCCCCAAACATCCATACTAACACGTTTTCAGATCTGATATCCTCAGAGCTCGAAAATCCGATGAATCGGTTTGTCGTATTCGAAATCCAGTCGAGCGAACCCCCGAGGGTCTACGAAAAACTCCAGAAGCAAAGTCGGTTCCCTTTTTCTAAGTCCTCGTGGTAACTTTCTTACCAACACGTTTCCAATATTTCGAAATCCGATATCTCGTCGAATCCGACAAAAGCAGTTTGTCGTATTAGAAAACCCAAAAGTCACCGTAGGAGCCCAGATAAATCCTAAGTCGAAACAAATAATCTGTAGACGAAATACAGGTACAGAGTCCATTTGGTATGTTTCGAGGAAATTCGTCCCAGAGTAGCGCCCAGTAATCTGCTCGAATCGACGTTTTGGCTTCTAGTTTCCCAGGAAGATCAGCAGAAACGTGTCAAATCTCAGAGGAACACGTGGAGATAATTTCAGATATCTTAAGTCGTCTAATACGAAAAGACGTGTCCTACCATCCGCAGAATTTGTTCCCCCACTCTTTCCAGGATGGTGCTCGTTTCCGAATGAATTTGAGTAGGCAGTTGTCAAAATACTTCCCAGGGTAGTTCTGTCGTCTCAGTAGCCTTTTTAGGGTAAGTAATCCAAGCCCTGCCAGCTCAACTTCTGAGGTCATCTGGTAAATCCTATGTAAGCAACAGGTAATTACCGCCTTTTTCTGTGAGATAGCCGAATAAGAGTTAAAATCCTGGATCGTTTCGAAAGAGAGGGTGCCTTCCGCCCAGATTTCCTCTAGATTACTTAGCTGCCTGTCACGGTCATGGAATGCGGGCACCACCCGAGCACAACAGGAGCAGGACACACCCGGGATGGAAAAAGAAGGGTAAAAGGGGAGAGGGGCGCAAGGGACAATACAGAAAGACAAACGACCGTAAAACAAGGCAGAGAAACAGAGAGGAGAGCCGGGACGAGTCCAGCACCTGTTTACTATCTCGAGGGAGGTGTGGTGGGAGGAGGTTCATTTTTTTGCTGCCTGCTCAGGTCTGTTGGTTGCTGCCTCTTGCCGTGGAGGTGTCGAAGGACACTCTTGGAAGGCGCAGGTTTAGGTTTGAAACAAAAGGGCACAAATGTAAGAAGGATACCAGTTCAAAATTATATGGAGTGTACTGTATGGGGTTTTTCAAAGAGATATAAACAGAAATCAAGAGGTGCTGACTAACAAAAGAGCACAGGCCTTAAGGCGGCAAGCTCAAAACTCGACGAAGTGTGTACGTAACTTTCCAGTTGGGTGGTAATGTTTCTTCCTCCACCCAGTCCTTTTGTTAAACGTCCTGTTTGTGTGCGGGCGAGCGTGCACATGGGTGTTTGTGTGTGTGCGGGCGAGCGTGCACATGGGTGTTTGTGTGTGTGCGGGCGAGCGTGCACATGGGTGTTTGTGTGTTTGCGCGCACGCGATTGTGTTTGCTGGAAGCAGCGGATGTGAGTCTTTTGCAAGTCAGGTATATGTGATCAGTGGTTCAAGTAAAATATGTTGTCTTGTGGAGTCTCACATGTCCGTGAATATGTGTGAAATGCTTACAGGAGAAACTCCGCGTACGCTCACGAAGGAGTGGGAACAGGCAACGGATAAAATGATGAGCAGTATGCCTCGTGAAGGTGGTCCTAATGTTATTCTGAACCCTGTCAAACGGCAAAACTACCGATAAATTCCACTCTGCCGCTATCCGGCGTTGATGAAGACCTGTGGTGCAGGTAAGTGGGGAGAGTCGCTGGCTAGATGTTTTTTCCAGCCCGTCAAAGATATTGCTGGTGCGGCTGCGGGCTATGGCTGATGCTGCTTGGCCACAGGAGATGTGTTGTCTTTTCTGCAGCAACATTGGTATCAAAGGTCAGTGAAACGCAAGGGAGGTGCACATGCGAGGAAGGGGAGGGAGAGGGCGGTGCGGGGAGGAGGATGATTCGGCAGGCACAAAGGTTGCAACCTTCTCTGCCCTTCTCATTGGCTGATGGTTTTCGCGACTCGTTGATCATTTATTGGAAGTATAGGCTGTGTTGGATGCTTGCATTATTTTGCAGTCAGGCGTGGACTATTGTCCACAGCAAGTCGTATAGCACACAGATCGTATGTGTTATGCGTTTTTACCCCCGCAGGAACGCTGTTGTTGCAAATTTGCTGAACAAATCGTTTTCGTGTTGATTTCTCAATTGACGGATGCTGTACAGTTCAGGTGGTTGACTGCTGTGTGTCGTTGATGATGTGTTGCGGATGCTATGGACAGCATGGATGACAGATCTTGGGCTTAACTTTTCTGACTTTGCTATCCTCCTTGCGGCCGTTTCATAGGCCTTTGAACTGTAGATGGTTGCTGCATGCCCAGTTTCGTTTGGAAAATTTTTTTGCTATGATCTTCTTATTTTTGTGTTGTCTGGAAACTCAATGGGAATGAGTTAGGCCCAATGATGCCCCTCTCCTCTCTGGCTCCCCGACCCCCCCCCGACCCCACACCCACTTTTTCCCCCAAATGTTTTCATTCAAAAAAGTCTGCCATGCATGTCGTTGAACGAGTCCCTTTTGTGAAAAAAAAAAAAAAAAAAAAAAAAAAGAACGAGTCCCTTTTGTACACTCATTATGGTATTCCAACTCGGGCTTGAACTTTAGTTCTTTCATCTCTGTGTACGTGGAGACTCTTCATTTTTTGGTTCCGTGAACTGACAGGGTTTTTTTTTTTTTTTTTTTAAGTCATCATGTGGCGCAATGGACCACGGACCAGATGTTAAGCTGATCAGAACAGATACACTGCACTTGATCTTAGCCCAAAGGACGGTGTTTGAGTTGTATTTTATGTGTACTTTTTTAGCTGGTTCAGGTGGCCTGTGGGATGGAGGAGAGGGAGAAGAACGTGAACTGTACGCTTCTGTCTTCACGTCAATGGAGGGTGCATGATGGGAGGTTTTTTTTTTTTTTCCCGATGATGTTGTCTTTCATCGCCTGGTTGGTTTTCCCTTTTCAGCTCTTACGTCTGGTTGGTTTTCCCTTTTCAGCTCGTACGCCTAATATGTCTGAGGGCACCTAGAAGTGCACTCAGGCATGCCCCCCAGGATTGGCACTGGAATCTAGGCTTGCCCTCAAGCCTTCCGACGGAGACATTGGGGGCAGAGGAAATAGGGCTTTGCCACCCTACTCACCAAGTGTGCGAAATGCAGCATGGAAATATAACTACTCCTTTGTGCTCGTCTTTTCGCATTGGGTGAGTGTTGCATGGAGGCTGATAGAGTGATAAATCCTTTCTTGAAAGGTTGTCTGGTGCTGCTCTGCCAGTCAGGACCGATTTATCTTTTTGTTTTCGTTTTGTTTTTCTCTTCTATTTCCCTCTCCTTCTAGGGAGTTTTTTTCTTTTTCTGTCAGTGGATTTTTTTTTTCTTTGGAAGAGTATGCCTTCACCAGAATCTAGGTGGAAATTTCATCCAAGCGAATCTTCTTTCTATCCCCTTCTTTCCTAGGCTACTTCGCTCGCCTGGCCATGCAACCCAGGCGAGCCGCCCGGGGGTCACCTGCATTGGCCAACCGCATGCAGGCAAATATCAGCCCTTTCTTTTTTTCTTTCTTGGGTGGAGGTTTTCTGAGCATGGCCAGTGGAGCCCAAATCCGGGCTCCTTTCTCTTTTCGAGCATTGGCTGTCAATGCCCCAAAGGTGAGGAAGGGGGGTATAAATTGGTTTTTAAGGGGCTAAAGGGGGGGGTGCCATAGTCTGATTCTGTTGTTTTCTTTTTTTATGTTGGATTCTGCAACGAACGCTGATGTGAACCTCAGCCAGAAGTCGTTTGTATTGCAATTCTGGACAACATTTTTTTTTCTGGATTTTTTGTTGTTTTTTATTTTGGTGCTGGGGCTGCCATCAACCCTGCCTGGGGTTCATCGTCAGCTGCACACCTGGGCGCGTATCTGGCCGAAAGTTGGGTGCGCAGGCGCCCAGACAAACAGCTTAGCGTCGTTTACTCTTTTGTTTTTGTATTTTCCTCATGATTGGGGTGCTAGGGAGGGTTGTATTGGGTGCAAGAATAATCCCCAAGGGCATGCAGCTCTGATACAGCAGATTGAGTAGGACGAAATTCACTGTCGTTCTACTGGTGCCATGAGAGAAGAACGTTGCGCTACATCAGAAATATTGAAACACACACACACGAGCGAGTGCACGCGCGCGCGCGCGCGCGCGCGAGAGAGAGAGAGAGAGAGAGAGAGAGAGAGAGAGAGAGAGAGAGAGAGAGAGAGAGAGA